TAATATTTTTTATCACATTCAAAAACATTTCTTATTTTTTAACCACATATTTTTCATCACATTACTATTTAAAATACATCATTCTCTCAATAATATGCATCAAACACTATGTAAATATGTAAGTTGTGATGTACATGTAGCATAACTCCATAAATATTTAACATCAATTTTTAGCAGGATAATTCGAATAAGAACGACTATAAGTGCCCACCTACTTAATTTCATTTTCATCATCAACCAAAGACTGATCAACCACGGCTACAATGGAGTCAGCATCATCGACCTCTTTTCCATTTTCTCACTCCAATTTGATCATGAGCGTTAAGGGATAAAATCTCACATCGAATAAAGATGAAAATATAGACCAATTTATAAGAGTTTGGGCTATCCATCTTAATAAAGTTGACATTTTAAGACGGAACCCCAAATTTTAATATAGTATCAGAGTCGGTTAAGCTCCAACGAGCAATTCTATCCGACTAAGACTAAAAAAAATTGAACACACGAATTTCAAGATTGGTCTGCTCAAATGAACCACCATCTTGAGGGGGTATGTTAAGGGATAAAATTTCATAATGAATAAAGATGAAAATATAGATCAATTTATAAGAGATTTGACTACTCTTCTTAATAATATTGACCTTTTAAAACGGAACCTCAAATCTTAACAATGAGATCATTTTCTGGGTAGTAAATTTCCTACAATGCGATCACATTAATCAGGATATAACAGAAAACACCCTAACGCGCCTACATCGCATTGAGAATCGGACAACCTCAAAATATAGATAGCAAATGTATGTATCTACAGCACTCAATACTCACAAACCCATTGTTGCACAGTGACATACACCATTCAATCCACCATCCACGTGTCACTATTGGGTCCCACCTTCAACTGCCATGTGATTCTCTCTCTCCTTCCTTCACACTTGCACACACAACACAAAGTCACAGTTGGATACTCACACAACACAAAGTCACGGGTATACTCACATACAAATGTAAAGCTTGCATTTAAAGCTCCAACTACACAAAAATGGCCAATATTAAATCTTGCGTATGAACCTCTGGTTTCATTTCATTTCTGTCTTCAGATAGGGAAGAATAACAACAACTATATCAAGAAATGGCTGCGAATGAATGGATAAATGGGTATTTGGAGGCGATTTTGGACAGTGGGGCAGCTATAGAAGAGAATAAGCCAACCTCAGTGAACGTAAAGGAAAAAGGCAATTTCAATCCCACAAAGTACTTCGTGGAGGAAGTGGTAACGAGGGTTGATGAAACTGATCTTCATAGGACATGGATCAAGGTGGTGGCTACAAGGAACACCAGAGATAGAAGTTCAAGGCTTGAGAACATGTGTTGGCGCATTTGGCATCTTACCCGCAAAAAGAAACAGGTTTTTTTATTACACAGACTCCATATATACACATACAGATATGTGTATAAGTATGTGTGTTTGTGTTGTTTAAGTGGGCAAGAGAAAATGGGATTCTTTCAGAGCTAAGTTTTTTGATATCACTCTGTTGATTTTGGGGTGGGGTTAAAGGGGATATAGTGAAAATTGCACTTTTTCTTGTTTGAGTCACTGTCCCTTTCCTCTGTTTTTTTCAGTGAATTGCGTGTGCTTTATTTGGGAGCTAATAGGCAATGAAATCTCACAATTAAATTGCATCTTTTTATATATATGGTATTGAATGAACAAATGAAACAAAAAATGAAAATGAAAATTCTATGGTTTATATCCAATGATGATATCGTCAAATGCATATTAAAAAATGGGCATAAATGGAAAACCTGTTGGTTGATGGTTTAATGTGCATAAACAGAAAACCATTCAATTGATGCTTCTTACGTAATTGAATTTCCATATAAATAGCTGGTTTTGATTAGTACTTCCTTCGAATTCTATGGTTTATTAGTGCATGTCCATATTAGTCTCATGAAAATGACACTTTACGGTGGATAGGTCTCAGTTGTTTAGGTTTTATTTAACCAGACTTCTTGATGTGTCTTCTCTTTTTAGTATGTATTTCCAAATGAGTATCCTACTTAACCATAAATATGAAATTATCTTTTGGTAGTTGGAATCGGAGGATTTCCAAAGGTTAGCGAACGGGAGGTGGGAACGAGAACAGGGGCGCAAGGATGTGACCGAGGACATGTCTGAAGATTTGTCTGAATGAGAGAAAGGAGATGGTCTAGGAGAGCTTGGGGTCGACAGCGCCCAGAAAAAGCTCCAACGAAACTTCTCCAATATCGAAGTATAGTCAGACGATAAAAAGGAGAAGAAGCTTTATATCGTCCTCATTAGGTACAGTAATATCTCAACGTAGTTGTTCACATCCACATGAAGAATTCGGAATTTAGTTACCATTAATAGATTAGTTAAGACATTAAATTTCATGATACATGGAGTATGGGTTGAACATATAGTTTCTGACCAAAACTTTTTATGGCGATCAGTTTACATGGATTGGTCCGA